CACTGCACCCAGCCCAATTTGCTGGGATTTTGACCAGGATTACACTGAATCTATAGATTGAGTAGGGAAGAGCTAACGTCTTGGCAATATTGAGTCTTTCTATCTGTGAACATGAAATAGCTCTGCATTGATTCGGTTCTTCTTTAATTTTGTTCATTAGAGTTTTGTACTTTTCTTCATGTAAGTCTATACCTAAGTATTTCATTTTTTGAGTACTAATGTAAATGGTATTATGCCTTTCATTTCATATTGCACTTGTTCATTGTTGGTATATAGGAAACTGATCAACTTTTTAATATTAACCTTATAAGAATTAATTAATACAGTCTTGCTATTAATATAATCCCTTATTAGTTCCAGTATTTTTTGGTGTGAATTCTTCTAGATTTTCTACACAGATGATCATGTCATCTATGAATATAGTTTTATTTCTTCCCAACCTACATACCTTTTATTTCCTTTTCTTCTCTTATTGCATTAGCTAAGATTTCTAATATGATTTTGAAAAACAGTGGTGAGAAGAGACATCCTGATTCCTGATTTTACCAGAAAGTTTAGAGTTTCTCATTGTTAAGTAAAATGTTAGGTGCAGGTCTTTTTTGTAGATTTTTCTAATCAAGTTGAGGAAGTTTCCCTCTGTTCCTAGTTACCAAAAAATTTTTTTAATAAACAAGTGTGGATTTTGTCAAGTTTGTTTTTTGTATCTACTTATATGATCATGTGATTTTTCTTCGTTAGCTCTTGGATGTGATAGATTATACTAATTGATTTACAAATGTTGAAAGAGCCTTGCATACCTGAGATTAATCCTGCTTGGTTGTAATGTCTAGTTCTTTTTGTACATTGTCAAATTTGATTTGCTAATATTTTTTGAAAATTTTTGCATCTGTATCTGTAAGAGATGTTGGTCTGTAGTTTCTTTTTTGTCATGTCATTGTCCGGTAGGCAATTAAAAAGACCAGCATTTTCCCTTGTTCCCTCATCCTTTTGCTCTGTGTTACTATAAATAAACTAGCAGGATGCTTTGTGAAATAATGTCCTGATATTGTTTTTAGGAAAACCCTGCTTATGAGGCCAGGGAGGTGACAGAAGCCTGGTGACTCAATCTAGACTTTGCGAGTTAGTCTCACTGATCTGTTCTTTAGCTTTAAATGCCTCTGGTACAGGATTTTATCATCCATTTGTTCCATTTGAGCCAAAGTCAAGAAACTGACTCAGATGAATCATACTCATAGCAGACTAAGTCACCTTACGGAGTGCTTAATTATCAATTTATAATGGGCTGTGTCTCTTTCCAATAACTAGTCCATTTATATGTGCTATCCAGGATATCCCTTCTTGAGTATCATGCAAGAAATAAAGCTCACAGTTTTCAGATGCATTCTGTACACAAGGATCTATTGGTTACATGACATGTATCATTTCCATTTAGTCCTCACTCTAACCTTGTGAGGTGTTATCCTCACTTAACAGATGGGAAAATCAGTTTTCACGGAAGCTGAATAAATTACTCAAGCTTACGAAGCCAGTCAGAGAGAGAGTCACAACTTCCTGGCTTCGATACCTGTGGGTCTTCTACTACATTGAACTTCATGGGCTCAGAACTGGACACAGAGACAGTCTCACACAAGATTCACATTACAGTGGAGTTCAAGAGTTAAGAAAGGTCTCTCCTGGGAAATGACTTTCTGTCTGAGCTCTGAAAGAAGAATGTGGACAGGTGAAGAGCCAGGTGAAAGTGTGGGCAGTGGGAACAGCATGTGTGGTAGGAACAGCATGTACAATGGTCCTGAGGTGATAAATTTATTGGTGAACTTGAGTCTGAGTAACTGCAACCCACTGAGCATGGGTAAGAAGCCTAACAGTAGCAAATGAACAGAGCACAAGGAGCAGGAGGACTGAGATGAAATTGCCAGTTTACAGTTGAGACCCTTTTGGAGCTAAACTGCTCCAGCTGCCAGGATTAGACTGCTATTTAGTGTGGACAGATAGGCAAATCAAAACCTCTAAATTTTCTATTTTCATACAACCCTCTAGGATGTTCCAGTACCTTAAACTGTGTGGATATTTTTTCCAACATGGCTGGACTTCTCGTATTGGAGATTTCCTTGCGGAGGAATAGTTAACTGGCTAAAGCTGTTGATTTTTCTTACAATACTGCATTATCTACAGTCTCCAAGGTTGTTGCCTACAGCTTGAATGCCCATTGGAATCAGCTGGAGAGATGGTTAAATATATATATATTTCACCCCCAACCTTACTTACAGAATTGTCAGCCTTTTTTTTCTTTTTTTTTCCCCTGCAAGCTACAAGCTATTCCTATGCAGCTGGTCTGACCACCTCTCAGAATGTCCATGCTCTGGGACAAGTTCAGTGGGACTTCACACAGTGTCAGACAGGTGGGTGACAGCAGCATAAATATATATATATATATATATATATATATATTTTTTTTTTTTTTTTTTTTTTTTTTTTTGAGATGGAGTTTCGCTGTTTCACTCTTGTTACCCAGGCTGGAGTGCAATGGCACGGTCTTGGCTCACTGCAACCTCCGCCTCCTGGGTTCAGGCAGTTCTGCTGCCTCAGCCTCCTGAGTAGCTGGGATTACAGGCATGCGCCACCATGCCCAGCTAATTTTTTGTATTTTTAGTAGAGACAGGGTTTCACCATGTTGACCAGGATGGTCTCAATCTCTTGACCTCATGATCCACCCACCTCGGCCTCCCAAAGTGCTGGGATTACAGGCTTGAGGCACCGCACCCGGCAGCAGCATAAATCTTAAGCAAGGTTCATGTTTCTCACCTAATGGTGGAGTTTCCAGCAGGGCAGAGAATCCATCTTACCCTCCCTGGGTAAGGAGAACAAGAATGTTGTGTACGTTCACTTCCCCTCCTTTCAGCAGGACTGTGCTCACCCACTGAATCAATTGGCTAATGATAGCTTCAGTAAAGGTGCTGGGGACGACACTGAGAAACGGTCATGGTACTCAAAAAGCTTCTTTACTATGCATTTCAGTAATTCTAAAATGCACATTTTTCCCCCCATTTTAACATCTTAGGAATGGGATTGTGACTAAAAACGGACTGTATCTTAGTATTTGTTGTAATGCAACTGAGAAGTTTTCTTTCTTTCTTAGTGGTATGTAAAAGAATGGTGCCACTTAAAATCAATGACATCTTTGAATCAGTTAAATACAGTAGCTGAAAAAGAAACCGTGTTTATGTAAACAGGAAGCCAAATGAGCCTTGCTCGTGCTGTTTCCTCTACGTGGGTAATTCTGCACCTCTTCTTCATCCATTCGATTAATCTATTACAAGTTAACCCAAACGTCCCTCCTCTAGGAAGCCCTCTTTGTCATCCCAGTCCCACCACTCAGCCTGGGTTCAGTCCTTCCTCCGGGTTCATGTACTTGCCTCTGACCTGTATTTTCACACTGTTTATATTTGCCCCATGGTTGGTCTGCCCTTCACCTACCAGGTAGTGAGCTCCTTGAAAGCAGAGATGCGATTGTACACCTCTGCTGTCCCAGTGCCTGGCACAGAGCCTGACACGTAGCAGAAGTTCAATAAATGTTTGTTGAAGGTATGAACGATGAAGGATTGAATGAACTGTATGTGTTTTGTACCATATGTAATGCCACAGGACTTCAGAAGAAAGGCAGAGCCCAGGGTTGAGTAGACCAGGGAAGGTTTTCTTAGGGGAACGGCATATGAACTACTGTGGCGAGATAGTCAATGAAATTGCTCACGGGTGTCATGAAGAATGAGAAAGAGGCGGGGCTAGGACCCTCATCTCTCTCTCTCTCTTTTTTTTTTAGATGGAGTTTCTCTCTTTTGCCCAGGCCAGAGTGAAGTGATGCAATCTCAGCTCACTGCAGCCTTTGTCCCTGGGTTCAAGCGATTCTCCTGACTCAGCCTCCTGAGTAGCTGGGATTATAGGCACATACCACCATGCCTGGCTAATTTTTTTTTTTCAATAGAGACGGGATTTCACCATGTTGGCCAGGCTGGTCTTGAACTCCTGACCTCAGGTGATCCACCTGCCTTGGCCTCCCAAAGTGTTAGGATTACAGGTGCGAGCCAACACACATGACCAGAACCCTCTTCTCTCTATTGGGTAGATCTTGTGGTGATTGTTACCTAGCTGGATTTTGTGTTTCAAATTTTGGATGATTATGAGGTTTCATTCATCATTGCCTTTAGCAATTGACTCTGGGTGCTGGAACAATAATAGCCTCCCAAAATCAGAGGAAAAAGTAGTTCAATCCTCAGTGAGCTCTCACAGGAAGTCCTGAATATGTTTAGTTTTTGTGGTTAAGACCTCAGAGCTTCCTGCCAGAGCTTAACAAGGTTTAGCAAGTCTAAGAAGACAAGGAGAAGGCGAGCAGACAGGACCACAGACCTGGCATCAACATTTCAAAGCAGGTGCCTTCTCACCACCTATTGTTTTAGAACTCTAACTGAAAACTATTTTTTTCTCCCCACTTCCCCCAAAGGTACAGCTAGCACGACTGCTAGCTGGGGTTGGGGTCTGACCTTTTAATTACAGTCATTTAAGACATCAAGATTTGATTCAACTGAGTTGTTTCTTAGCCTGTCCTTTTGTATGTCATCTGATGAGTTCATGACATCTCCAGTATCCATAGAGTCCCCTGTTTTCAAGAATGACAGTGCAGATCATTACGACCATGACTGAACAGTCAAGGAAGTAAGACCCAAAAGGTAAAATATTCTGGTGACTCCTGTTAATGTTTGTGCATGAGGCCTCAGTTGTGTTTGAGGCCTCAATTCATTTTGGGAATCTACAAGTAGGTTTTTGGACCCGGCTTTGCAGTTGGGACCTAGGGAGAACGTTCTGGTCATTCCGATGAGGACTAAGGAGGTCTCAGCTGGATTAAGTTGGTTGAATTTGATCCTGCTGTCACACCAGAGAGGCTCTTTCTTATTCAGCAGCTGCCCCTCCTCGATACTGGGCTGCCTCACACAATGAGCAGATGCGGATCTAATCAAAGCTTTTATTTCACTTTTACTCACAGGACAGTGGGCAAGTGTCCACCGGGGCACATAAGAAAGTCCGGAGTCTCTCAGGCAGATAGACTGCTTGTAGCGAGACCCAGACACAGCAGTCACTTGACTTATCGCATCTGCGCGTGACCTAAGAGGGGACAAGACATCTCTAAGATTTCTGTGCTCGGTCATCTACCATTCTCAAAATGACACTTTTATTGCTTCTCCTTACTGGTATGATGGAGCTCTCTGAGGAGACCAAAGACTCTAGAAGTTGCCCACGTGGCTGAATTCGAAGATGCAGAGATGGCTGTGGCCCACAGCCTCAGGAGGTGACCATGTTCTGCACGTAGAAAACACCTGCTGGAAGCGCGGATGTGCACATCAGGACTGCAGAAATCTGCAGTGCTTTTTAATGGAAAAGACAGTTTCTATCTTTTTTAATTAGAGGAAGGGAACACTGAGTTTTCTGCTGCCCCATGGGGAGATTTTGGCTGAACTCGAGGTCTGGGGAGAGGTGGGCCCTTCTGCTGGTGAACTTGTGTGCCTGACGGAGCAGGAGGCCTCTTCTGAGGTTGGTGCTGAACACGGTGTCCAGGAGGCAGGGGACGATGGCTAGGTGCCTGGGAACGATGGCCAGGTGGTGGAGGAGGATGTTGGGAAGCTGCTGGATTTTGAGGGGTTGAAGCTGGAATTTGGTGGGGCTTCCGACTCCTTTCTTCAGCAGCGACTCTGTGGGCTCTTATCTCCAGCTCCTCATCTGCAACAACAAAATCTCAATAGAGTTGATCTTGTGCCTGGGGCTCCCATGATCAGAGAGGGCGCTCAGATCTGGAACCCTGCCTCTGTGCTGACCTGGCTACTGTTCCCTGAGAGCAAGAACCCTGTGGTTAGAGCGCATGGGAAGAGGACACGTGCAGTCATGGTGGATATTAGCAACTGCATTCCTTCGGAGGCATTTCGGTGTTAGATCTGCCTTTCCCCCAATTCTACTGTCATGCAACCCACCTTCTGGCAAGAAGTCGGAATACATGCAAGGGACCTTTTGTCCGTAGAAATGTACTAGCTCCTCAGAAATTCATGACCTGTCCTCTTGACCTGAGGAGGGAAAGAATTCCTCCTGTTCTCACCCTTCAGGATCTTCTGCTTTGTATGACTTCAGTCCGTGAAAGCAGGCCCACAACCAGTCATAATGTAGTTTTTCCTGTACTCTTAAAATCACAGGGAATCTGTGAGCATACCCAGCTGCTAGAGGCCTGGAGTGCCCTGCCGGCCCCTCTGGACTTGTGTAGGCTGTAAGTTAGGTATTTCAGTCCCTGCACCCAAGGCCATCTTTGCAGCGGCTCCATAGGGAGGTAGGAAGAGAAGTTTCTCCCTGGGGTGAAATAATGACCTCTTACATCTTTATGGAGATGCATGCCTGGGGAAGCACAGGCCCTCTCTAAGCGTCACCCTCTAACTTCCGGATGTTGATCCAAACCAGATAGCCTCCTCTGACTACAGGAAATGTGAGCATCAGATGGCTTTGAGTATAGAGTCAAAGTCAGACAATATGATTTTGATACTTCAGTGGCTCATGTGCTCTAAGCACAAAGAGGAAAGAGCCTCCAGGAAGGACAAAACACATCCTTTATGTCATCTTCCGTGCCCTGCAGTCACTTAGGTTATGTCAAGGAGACCGGAGAGGACTCTGACCCCGACCCCAGTTCTGAACTATGGGGAGTGGCTGGTCCTTCCTCATCTAGGTGGCAAGCTTGCACTGGCCCGTGGTTTACTACTCTGTTCACCCACCATTTGCCATTTTTGTTTTTTGTTTGTTTTGTTTTGTTTTGAGACAGGATCTTGCTCTGTTTGCCCAGACTGGAGTGCAGTGGTGCGATCATATCTTACTGCATTCTCATCTCTGGGCTGAAATGATTCTCCCACCTCAGCTTCCTGAGTAGCTGAGACTATAGGCATGTTCCATCACACCTGCCTAATTTTCTATTTTTTTTTAAGTAGAGACGAGGTCTCACTATATTGCCCAGGCTGGTCCCAAACTCCTGAGCTCAAATGATCCTCTTGCCTCGGCCTCCTAAAGTGCTGGAGTTACAGATGTGAGCCATCACACCTGGCCCACCCACCATTTTGTTCATTTGTCCTTCCAATATTCATTCCTCATCTTCTAAGTGTTGAGTGTCATTGTGACTCAGACACAAATTGTCCTCAGGAAGCCTAAAATCAAGTAAGAGGCGAACAAGAACGGAAAATCACAATGTCAGCTCCGTGAAGAGCCCAGGGCCACCAGAAAGCATATACAGAGGCATATGGTTCTGGTAGGAGGAATGGGGTGTGGCCATGTGGCTGAGACCACAGTCAGGATTGGACAGACAAGGCTGGCTATGACTCTGTGTACCCTGCCTGGTTCGAGCAGGACGGTGGGTCTTCAGCCTGCCCACCCCAGCAGCTGCAGCTGGCGTCTAAACATGCGCTCCCAGGAATTCCTCCAGGCTCATTATACATCTCCCTCATTTGCATCTCCTGGTCACTCAACCCAAGATGGGACTGGGTTGAGGCAAGCGAAGCTGATGGGCATGCAGTTTAAGCAGACACCCACTTTCAGGCTTGTGCGAGGGCAGGTCATCTTCCTGAAATTCTGTGCTGGGGTCTCCTGGCCTCAGCCTAGGCCTGACTCAGCCTTCTGGCCATAGGATTTAAGGCGAATAATTGAACTTGAGTTTCCTCATCTGTGTCTTTATCTCTCTCCTAAGATTACTCTCAAAGCTGGATGCACTAATGGATACAAAACACAGACGCAAATGTCTTCTTTATCTGCATGAGCTAACCGTCATGCTGGTCTCTCAGCCTGGTGATGGCAGAGATTGCCTTGTTCTGGAGTGAAATGTGAGGTCCCCCTTGGAAGAAGATGTGGTCTTTGACCATTGGGCAATGGAGAAGCGGTCTTTGCTGGAGAGAGCATGGAGAACAGCCAGAGCTGGGCACAGAGGAGGACAAGCCGGGCATGCCCAGGGGCCCTGCCAGCAATTCCGCTGCACGTGGTGGACAGTGAGGGACAATAGTGTGGAAAGAATGGGGCTATGTCCAGGAAGATGTTTCGGGGCCTGAGCTGAGGGCAGTGGCGTGATGGGACATGGGGCTGAGGGACCGCAGCCTGAAGGAGAGGCAGAAGGAGAACTGAGGAAGAAGTTTGAGGTGAAGAAGCCAAATCCAGACGGCACAGGGCCCCAGACCACAGCGGGCTGGGGAGGTTCCGACCAGCTCCCTGGGCAGCGCTGAAAGCAGCTGGTGTGGCTGTGCCTGCTGGTTCTAGGGGAGATCAAGCTCTGCTGTGAATGTGAATTGCAGAGAACCCCAGGCCCTGCTCCCTTGGCTGCAAGTCCTGCCAATGGCTGACACCCCCACTGTGCCCCCACAGTGACCCCGGGTTTGCCATTATCTGGAGTTTTCTGCCTTGGGTGGCCTGGATGCTCCCTGAGCCAACTCCCCACTTGTGAGCATAACCTTTTCATTGCTGATAGGTTGTCAGACAGGCCTGATCCGAAGAGAAACACTCTCAACCTTAACACATCCCTTGAACAGAGAATTAGCAAAGGGGACAAGTCACCTTGCTTTAGAATAGCTGTTTTCCTGAGAGTACCAGATGACCTGAATGATTTTCCCTGTGTTTCTAGGAGCTTGGTCCTGAACTCACCTTGGGCTCACCCATAGACAGGACATTTATTCCTGGAAACAGTGTTTTGGAGCTGACCTTTCTACTTATCTATGTAGATAAGTGTGGCTCATTCAAAAGCTGTTGACGCCAGCCTGTCACCAAGTAGGCCTCGTTGGTGGATTCCAATGAGGCCAACTGGATTCCGTGTGTCAAAGCTGCCACATTGTCCCTACTAAGGATCTGTTTTTCAAAAATCGAGCTAACCGTAAAATGACACAAGCTATACCTGCTGGCGACAAACCCTGACATTCCGAAACGACCTAATTCCATTATTTTCTCTGCAGATTCAAGGTATCATCCCCATGAGCTGTTTCCTGGGGATTTTGCCGGGGCCTGTGGTGGGACAAAAGAGGGGGAGCTTACCGTTTCTCCGCCTGCTCTGCTTTTTCCTTTTGCTGATGTAGAAAGCGAGCAGTGCCACAAAGATCATCAAGAGGCTGCCTCCTCCACAAATGCCGCCGATGAGATAGATGTCCAGACGCTTTTCTGCAAGAGGAAGAGAAATGCGATGACTGGGAGGGGTTCAGACAGAGAGGCCATTGCTCTGGCCAAGGATGCCACCTCCTGCATCCAGCAGATGAAGGAGCTCGGTGGGCCCTTTCACCCCATAGCTCCCATGCTCACGGAGAGTGGTGAGTGGTGTCAACGCTGGACGGGCCCAAAGTCCTGGGGAAGCTCCCTGTGCGGGCGCTCAGGAACTGGAACCACATTATTCACACACCAAGGCCTGCCCACTGCCCCCATCATGGAGAAGATGCTGGAATTATAGATCTGAGGATCTTAGAGATACTCTAATGCAACCTCTAGTTTCAAAGATGAGGCCCCAAGAGGGAGGATGAGTTGCCTGAGGCCACGCGATACCTGTTCTGTGCAGTCCCCTTAAGCAGCCCCTGGTTTCCGTGTTTCCGTACTGCTGATCCTGCTCTCATCTCTGGCTCCCTTCCTGTACCATGATTCCTTCTCACCCTCTCAACCAGGCAGTTTCCAAACACTCAGGGTGAATATTTTTTTGTCCAGCCCCGCACTCTGATCTCACGGCCAGCACCGCATTGCAGAGTTTCCCTGGAGCCACAAGAGAAACCCAGGTGCACAGCGTGTTAGTAACAGCAGCAGACTTAGTCGTCAGTCGCCAGACCTTCAGTCACTGTCGTGCAACGAGGAAAACAATGCATTCAGTGTTCAGGGAAATGGGTTTGGTGCAGGCGTTTCTAAGGCAAGAGCTGTGTGAACTTTGGAGAGTTCCTTCACCTCTCTGAGCCTGTTTCTTTCTTTGTAAAGTGGAGAAAAATGAAACCTACATCACAGCTGGCTGTTAGAAGACAATCAGATAAAGGATGCGAAAGTGCTTTGTAAACTGTAAAACAATACAAATGCGAGGTCTTGCTCTTACTCGTGTTCTTCACACTGGTGTTGCTGGGAGCTGTTTCCCAGGAGGGGTGCTGGGCTGTCTGCCCTTTGTGTGTCAATAACAGTTAGAGAAGCAGCAGTGGGGCTGGGATCAGTGGACAGGGTCATCTGAAGAACAAACTGGAACTTGGCCCAGCATCACAAAAGAAATGCATCACCAGGCAAAAAAAAAAAAAAAAAAAAAATCCTAGGGAGACGCTGTCGTACGTGAAGCCCAGGATGGGCCCCGAGGAGCAAGCCAGAGGCTCAGAAACCAAGTTGAGCAGATCATCAAACTGCGGGGGTGTGTTCATCTGGGCTTTCTTTCCTCGAGTCTCACTCTGACAGTTACACAACCTTTCTAAGCTCTACTGATGAAGAGGCCTCCACCAGAGAAGCAGGCATAATCTTAAATCATTGAAATTGGGTTAATAAAGGATTCAGGGCCTTTTCGGCCCTGCTTGCTTGGAGGAGGGGCGGGAGATACTAGAGGCCACTTCCTGCTGAGCTTGAGAACTTTTCAGATTTGACCCAGGGTGGGCCCGGGCAGGCCTGAAATGCTTTGGGGAGCACATGGCAAAGCCACGCAGCCGCCAGCTCCATCTTCTCTCTGAGTCGTTGGGTAGGGTGGCCACAACATTATCTTGGGCATATGCAGGAATGCAGGCAATGCCCTACGCAGCCTGTTCGCGTTTGTCCAGGGGACTCTTGGACAAACACCTGGTGGTGCTCTTGGTGGGGAACGTTTCATCACGTTTCAGAGGCAGCTGTGGCACTGTCAGTCAAAAATATGTCCTAGCAGTTCCTAAATCCCGGCATCCTATCTTCCTGCAGTTTGTCTTGGTGATCACATGTCCACGAGTTTATGTGATAAAGTATTTTTATGCATCTGAATCTGTTCCTTCCTCCTAGTATTTTGGTTTGAAGTATGTAAACACTCACCCGATCTGAGCCAAATGGTTCTAGTGAGATAAGTGCTCCCTTTAGAATAAAATGTCCAAACCCCTTTTCGGGCCTTTAAGAGCAGCCCCTCCACCCCAATCTCTCCCCAGGTATTCTTCCCGTCTCCTTAGTGGTCCTTCTCCCAACCAGCTGCTGCTCTGCGCCACAGGATACAGGACGTAAGTGTTCCAGCCTTCAAACCTTGGCTGCTCCCAAGATCCTCCCTCTCTCCCTCCTCCCATCCCTAATACACACACGTTTTTATACATGTGGGCTCCAGTTAAAGTAAACATGAAAAGTAGAGTTTCCAGATAAAATGCAAATCACCCACTTAAATTTGAATTTCAGATAAACAATGAATGATTTCTAGCGTTATGTGCCATGCAATATTTGAAACATACTTGTACTGTAGTTTTATTCACGGTATCCGGAAACTCTAATCAAAGATATCCCAAGGCCACTGCAGTGGGTCATGCTTATAATCCCAGCACTTTGGGAGGCTGAGGTTGGAGGATAGTTTGAGCACAGGAGTTCGAGACCAGCCTGGGCAACATAGTGAAACCTTATCTCTGCAAAAAATTTAAAAATTAGCTGGGTGTGGTGGCATACACCTGTAGCCTCAGCTACTGGGGAAGCTGAGGTGGGAGGATCGCTTGAGCCTGGGAGGTCAAGGCTGCAGTGAGCTATGATCACACTACTGCACTCCAGCCTGGGCAACAGAGCAAAACCCTGTCTCGAGACTTCTTGAAAGGGAAAAGAAAGTTGTGAAATCAAGGAGAGGCAACTTCACTCACTGTGCCTTAGTGATGTGGGGAGATGTGGGAGGATCGACTCCTGGTCGAGTTGGTGATTGGCAGACTCTCAGATACCTTCAAGGACCCCTGCTTCCTGATATTCTCACCTATGTACAATCCCCTCTGAACGTGGGCTCGACTTACTAACTTGCTTCTAATGAATAGAACACAGCAGATATGATTGGGATATTACTCCTGAGATTAAGTTATAAAAAGACCGTGGCTTTTGTCCTGAGCACTTACTCCTGCCCTTAGAGTGCTCTGAAGGAAGCCAGCTGCCATATTGTGAGGCAGCCCAATGGCCCACGTGAATGAACTTGGAAGTGGATCCAAGCACCTACTCATCTGACAGATAGTCTGTGAACATGGAGCTTATTTTCTTCACGGGCCGGGGAACTGAAGCCTAGAGAGGGGGAAAAATTCTGATAAGGTCCTCTGGCTAAATTTGGGCAGACCCAAACTAGAAGTCCAGACCTCTGCTCCCAGGTGAGAGCTTGGGCACTATAGCAGGCCGCCGCTCAGAGTTACTTCTGGAGGTCACGTCAGGCTGGGACACTGGGGATCCATTATGTTCTTGGAGCTTTGAGACTTTCTGGAGCTAGTCCCCAAGCCTTGCTGTCCTGCTGTGTGCCAGGACTGTATCCACAGTCTTCTTTGGCCTCGAGGGCTCCATTCCCCCATGTCCCTACTTCCCAGGGTTTCTGCGTCCTTTCTACCTTTACTCCTGATAGGAGACACTGACCACTGACCATCTTTAAGTGGGTGGTTGGAATCATGTAACTAAGTAGCCGAGGGACCCTGGGCAAGTCAGTTTCCCTCTCTGGGAAATGGGGCTTTGCCTGACATACTCTCTATAACTCGTTACTCTTCCATTTTACAATTATTTCTCCCAGAAGAGGATCTTTAAAATTGCTTGTTGTCAAATTGTATTCAGTGGGAGGACTCCCAGGACTGGTAACCATAGAACACCACCTCCCCGGAGGCTTCCCTTGAAGATTTCCAGGAAGATGTTTTTATGCATCATCCTGAGCCAAGGCTATCTCCCAGCATGAGCATCTGTGACCTGGAGCAGCATGCCTCTGCCTACCAAGGGCCTGACCGGCTGTGTGTGAGAAGCGACACCCGCCACGCACCTGGACAGCTGACATCCACCACACGGTATTCCTCGCTGACTTTGTTTCTTGCTGTGCAGTTGAATTTCCTACTCAGCCTGGGGGTCCACTTGTATGTGATGACCTTCTGAGAACCTTTAGAGAGATTGCTCCCATTTTGATACAGGTTTAATTCAAGGTCGGTTCCATTCATTACCTCACAGGTCAGGGTTTTGTTGTCACAAGTCAAGGAGATATTTGGTTTTGAGACTCTCTCTAAAAAGAAAATAAAGATCCAGTTCCATTTAGACAATTTTCTGATTTTAATAAGCACATCTATTTATACAGTGGGGGATGGAGTCAGTTAGGGACAAGGGAACAATTTCAAAGACCTCTAGCAACTTTTGCAAATTATTTTATTTACAAAGAGCATTCAGGAAAAAAATGATTTCTGATGAAGTTCTTAGATACATTATGCCACAAAATAATGTAGCACATGTAATGTTTATGTGCTGTCTTGTACCTTAAAATGCTTTCACATACTGATAGCACCTCCTAGCAGAACGGCTGATGTTCTTCCCCTTAGAGGCAAAATGCTCAAGGCTTTGAGAGGTTCCGTGAGTGGACTTGGGGTACCACCTAAAACATGGCAGTCAGGGCTTAGGAGTACGGGTAAGAACATACCTCTGGAGTTTGAGAAGGGCCATGCTTTAAGAGTAGCCAGGGACCCCATCCTACAGAAACTGTCACATTGACATGTGGCCAGGGACCTTGGTTACCTCTGCCCCCACCAAGTTCCCAGAGCAGAGGGCCAGGTGGGTACATGTGGGTGTCCAAGGAGCTCAAAGCTCTGGGGAAAAAGAGCACCTGCCTGGGAACCAGACACTTGGTTCCAACTTTTCCCAGCCCAGAGCTGCTCAGCTGCTCACTGGGTCTACGCTGGCCTTCCTCAGAGCATCAGAAAAGGATGGAAAACCACGTCCCTGCCTGTCAGAAAAGAGACAAGATGTGAAAGGCCGGGCCCGGAGGCTCATGCCTGTAATCCCAGCACTTTGGGAGGCCAAGGCGGGTGGATCACGAGGTCAACAGATCGAGACCAACCTGGTCATCGTGGTGAAACCCCGTCTCTACTAAAAATACAAAAAATTAGCTGGGCATGGTGGTGCGTGCCTGTAATCCCAGCTACTCAGGAGGCTGAGGCAGGAGAATTGCCTGAACCCAGGAGGCGGAGGTTGTGGTGAGCCGAGATCGCGCCATTGCGCTCCAGCCTGGGTAACAAGAGCGAAACTCCGTCTCAAGAAAAAAAAAAAAAGAGACAAGATGTGGCAAAGCCCTGGGCAGAAGTCAGGCAGTGACATCAGGAGTAGTAGCTCATGCATTCAATAATCACAAACTTCTTGCCTCTCTTCTTCCGACATGCTAAAATTTAAAGACCACCATTAAAGGAAAATGCGTAGCCTTGGCGTTAGACAGCTCAGGTCTACATCCTAGCCCCATCGCTTCCTAGCTGTGTGACCTTCTTTTCCTCCTCTTCTGTTCTTTTTCTCATTCTTTACTTTGTTTTCCCAGACTTGCCACTTTTCCCTCTCAGTTTCTCTCTGTTCATAATACAGATGGAATAATACATAATTCCTTTTCACTCTGATCTTCCCCATGGACAATCCCAGCCAAACTTCATTTCTGTCCCGCTATATATAGGCATGCAGAAATTAAATAAAAGTTTTCTTCTCATCCCAAGATTCTGTGTTACCCAGAAGAAAGCAAAAGGAAAGTATTAACGTTCAGCAGCAGAGTTAGTACATTGTCTAGGGGTGGCGTCATGGAGTTTACCTGTCTATTCAAAATGGAAATACTCTTTTTCTGCTTATAACAATAATATCCAATCATTGTACAAGTTGATAAAATATTTTTAAAAGTTTAATGTAGATTAAAAATTACCCACAATGCCACTACTCGAAGTCAATAATGAATAACATTTTCACATATATTTGTAGCAGATATTTTCTATTTATATGTATATACATAAATAATACGATATTTTAGTGAGGTGAGGTGGTTGGCATTTGTAATCCCAACACTTTGGGAGGCTGAGGTGGGTAGATCACTTGAGGCCAGGAGTTTGAGACTAACCTGGCCAACATGGAGAAATTCATCTCTATTAAAAAATACAAAAATTAACCAGGTGTGGTGGCACATGCCTGTAATCCCAACTACTCAGGAACCTGAGGCATGAGAATGGCTTGAACCCAGGAGGTGGAGGCTGCAGTGAGCCAAGGTTGTGCCACTGCGCTTCAGACTGGATGACAAAGAGAGACCCCCCCCATATATATGTAATATTTTAAAAATTAAAATGAGTTTATGTGATCTTTTTTTTTTTTTTTTTTTTTGAGACGGAGTCTCGCTCTTGTTACCCAGGCTGGAGTGCAATGGCGCGATCTCGGCTCACCGCAACCTCCGCCTCCTGGGTTCAGGCAATTCTCCTGCCTCAGCCTCCTGAGTAGCCGGGATTACAGGCACGCGCCACCATGCCCAGCTAACTTTTTGTATTTTTAGTAGAGACAGGGTTTCACCATGTTGACCAGGAGGTCTCGATCTCTTGACCTCGTGATCCACCCGCCTCGGCCTCCCAAAGTGCTTGGATTACAGGCTTGAGCCACCGCACCCGACCCAAAATGAGTTTATGTGATCTTATAGTCTGCCTTTTCTCCTTTACTGTGAAATTATATTATGAAATTCTTTTCTTAATGAACATCAATAAATGCATATCTCCATCTTTTTAAAGGATGCATCCTTAATTTAATTAATAAGTTTCTCACTGCAACTGTTCCTGTATTTCACTAACATGAACAACACAGTGACCTGCAGCCTTGTGGAATGGTACCTCTGTACCACCTCTGTATATATTCACTAAGACAGTGTCTTAGAACTGGTCCAACCTAAGGCCTTCCACGGATGAGAACTCCTTAATTCTGAGTGGCTGAGATTAACCCCTTCTCTACTAGCATCTGCTTCTAAGGGGCCCTTCACTATCTCTTCAGCCTGTAGCAGCAGCTCCCTCATGAAGGAAAGGCAGTTACAACTACAGAAGTTTGAGAAGTTTGGGAAGGTCACGTGTCGTGGCTCACACCTTTAATCCCAACACTTTGGGAGGCTGAGGCAGGCGAATCCCCTGAGGTCAGGAGTTTGAGACCAATCTGACCAACATGGCGAAACCTCGTCTCTACTAAAAATACAACAATTAGCCAGACATGGTGGTACATGCCTGTAACCTCAGCAACTTGGGAGGCTGAGGCAGGAGTATCACTTGGACCCAGGGGGCAGAGGCTCAGTGAGCTGAGATTGTGCCCATCTCCAGCCTGAACAATAGTGCAAGACTCTGCTTCAGAAAAAAAAAAAGAGAGAGAGAGAAGTTTGGAGAAACAAAGAGGTATGGGAGGGTATTAGCACAGAGGAAACAGGGCTTGTGCTCCAGGCACTGCAGGGCACTCGTATACTCATTGTCACATTGAATAGCCCTTGAAGTTGGCATTGGGAAATCAGACTCAGAGCAGACAGGGAATTTTCCCAAGGCCATGGTGACCTTAAGTCTGGTAATGGTGACCAGCTACAAGTTGAATCAAGACGTTGTATGACACCGGCGTGCACACACACAACAGCAAATCGCTGTCTTTCAGCTAAAGGTTGAAGGGTTTCTTTTTGGAGCAATGAAAATGTTGATTTTGATGATGGTTGCAAAACCCTGAATATACTAAAGGCCATTTTAGTATAGGGACAAGTTGAACAGTATGTGGATTATCTCAATGAAGCCGTTCAGAAAAAAAGAAAAGGGCACCATCCTTGCCAAAAAGCCCTCTTAGTTTGAATCCTGACTTTGCTCATGTCAAGCAATGAGACCTTGGACAAGCTGCTTCTCACTAGGTCTCTTTTCTTATCTATAACAAGAAGATAATAACAAGTACGTCTCAGTATTGTTGGGAGCTTCAAATAAGAGCATGCAAGCAAGCACCTGACCCCTAGCTGGTAGCCATTATTTCCACCACAATGCTAAATGCGACCCAAATGTGAAAGCACCAGCATGGTCCCCTCGTAGGGCTCACTCACACTCCAAACTGTGGTTTCTAGAGCCTAGAATCAGAGGCCCCTTTCAGCGCCATGCTCAAGCACACCACGTTTCTACAAGGTGCTCCCCATTCAAGGTTGCAGGACTAGGGTGTGGAAAGTTGTGACTGCAGCAGGGCTGACGGTGTCTGGGATTGCTGGAGTGGGTCATCTGACAATATCTGGGATCGCTGGTAGGCCCAGGTGCTGAAGATGGGGCTGGAGAGAGAGAGGAAGGAGGAGGGGGCCCTGCTTCTGGCAACGTTTTCTGTGTGAGACAGAGAAATGCTTCTGTGCTCACTGAATGGCTGGCCTGTGCTCATGCTGGGGTTCATGTCTTTCTCCCCCGGACAAGGGCAGCTTCCTCTTTTTCTCTCTTATCACTCCCCGCCCAGTGTCTGTGGGTTTTCAACTTCAGTCATTGGACAAGTTGATGAAATATTTGTAAAAGTTTAAAACAGATTAAAAATCACCCACCATGCTGCTACTCAAAGTCAACAATGACTAATATTTTGATGTATATCTTTGTCAGATATTTATATAAATATGTAAATATATAAATAAATAAAATATTTCAGCTGGTTCAGGTGGCTCATGCCTGTAATCTCAGCGCTTTGGGAGGCTGAGGTAGGCGGATCACTTGAGGCCAGGAGTTCGAGACTAGCCTGACCAACATGGTGAAACCCTACTAAATCTCTACTAAACATACGAAAATGATCACTCCCTGCTCAGTGTCCCCTGGGCTTTCAAGCTGAGTGGCATTTCAGTTCCACTTTCTCTTCCTTCTCTCCCTTGCCCAAGCCACCTGTCCATCCTTTCTCTAAATCTGACCCTTCTTATCCCCATTCTTCCTACTTGGCAGGCACCCTTTGGTCTAGGCCAGTGGGGATTAACTTGGGCTGCTCATTAGAATCCCCCAGGGAGCTTTAGAACTCATTGAAACCAAAAAATTCTGATTTAATCGGTCCTCACTCCACTTGGATTATAGCAGCGGCTTCCTGGCTAGATTCCCTAACCCCATCCTCAATACCCATTCCTGCCGGCCCAGAGACATCCCAAGCCACACCTTGTGCATATTCTACACATAGCAGCAAAAATCACCCACCACCTTGGATCACTCTGACAAGCAGATCCAAAACAAGGTCTGTTGATCCTTAAATATGTCGTTTCCAGCCTTTTTCTGCCATATGACTCCTCCTTCAGGGCACCCTGGCTTGAAATGGGCTTTCTTGATGAAAGGCCCTCTGCTCTCTGGTCAGCCACTTCTTCCCACCCCTCTTAGCTTGCCCCGTCAGCAGCCTCGGGAACAGCTGCCTTTCCCCTCTGCTCACCTGTCCCCCTCCTGATTAATGCCACGTTAATCCAGGTTCTTCACTCAGCCCCACCTCCCTGTAACCACCTGAAGAGAGAGTTGTAGGCAGGTAGGCTTGAGGGTCTATCAGATGTGGGGACCCCGTTCCCACATTGGACCACTGTGGCAGGAGACGCGCATCTGATTTCCTGTACAGCTCCCCTGGAGGCAGAGGTCAGTGCTGGGGAATACTATAAATGCTATTTTCCAACTTGCCAAATAGCACTCATACTGAAATAAAGCAATTTAAGGAATGAACACTTACCTAAAATCTTCAAATCAAACGTTTTTTCCAACACACTTTTCCCTTTTGAATCGTATATTGATACCTTGTACGTATTCTGATCATCCATCTTTAGATGCTTAATTTTCAGAGTTCCATTTTCTAATAGCTTATATGCATCTTTCTGAAAAGTATCCTTCGTTTTTCTGAATTGTGCAATCTTTTTCTTGTCTGAACCTTTTTCCCATTTTATATCATCAATATCAGTCCTCATTTGAAAATCAGGAATGTCCAAGTTGATGTCTTGACCCAAAGCACCCCAGACTTCCAAGGCATTCCTAACGTCTTTGGAGATTGCACCTATAAAAAGCAAGAGAATTACTCAGATTCACTTCCAGAAAAAGCTATGTTGGGACTTCTTTGACTTTTATGCTTACTTCAGGATCTCTGAAGAAGCCTCTAACAGTGACAATGGAGACCCATGCACCAACTTACCTTTGGAAGAAATGTTGAAAATCAGAAGGAAGCTGGCTACAATTTTACATGGAAGGCTCATCTTAGTTTCCTCTTTTGATTCTGAGCTCTTCATGCGAAAGGAACTGAAGTGAGACTGGTGAAGTCCACACCCCGAGAACTTAACCACGTGCCTCTCTTTACACGTTTTACAGTAACATAAAACATGTACACATACACAGAGAAAGGGAGAGAGCGCACAAGCCAGCCCTTCTGATGTGCTCCTTTGCCTAAGCAGATGTGTTTATGAGTATGTGTTTTCTTACCACATTTTAATCCCCACACAAAAAATTGGGAAGGACGGGTTTTCTCACCCCAGTGAAAGAGAAAAGGAATGGAGAGACTACGTAGATCATTCAGGATCACTCTTTTGAAAACAAGAAGCCAAATTCAGCCATGCAGTCTTTTATCCACTTAGGTATACTGACTCTAAAACGCCACGTAGAAATATAGGTAAATGTTCAAAGCCAATAGCAGAATGCAAATATTTATCCTATGTGACTATAAATATTGAAAAATGTATACCCATAGAATGATTTAAAAATTGATTTCTTTCTGTTTCTCCAAAGATATTTTTCATGTTCTAAAATCATTTTTGTGACTAAAAAAAAAGAAAGAAAGAAATTGAGCATCAGCTGTAAATGCTTGCAATCCCGAAATCCTATGTTTAGCATACATTTTACAACTCTAGTGAAATTGACAGGTAAATAAAAACTTGTTCCAAAACAAAGAAGCGTAGACACTATGAAATATAATTAAACCACCAAAACAAATGAGTCTAAAGCATTTAAGGTGATTAACATTATAGATGGTTAAGGAAAAAGGAGAGATTAGGAGAAAAAAGGGAAGTGAGAGGGAACCGGGAGAGAAAAAGAGAAAAGGAATTTGTGAAACGAGGAAAGAGACAGCGGTGCAGAGATGGATGTGGTGGCCTGAGAAGACGCCTAGGGAGAGCAAGTCACAGAAAAGAGAAGCAACTTGACAGACTTTCAAAGCACAGTTTCAGCGCTGCAAAAAAAGCTATTACTAGGTAAAAGGAAGCCCAAATACTTATCTCATGGTTGTATGAGCATCATCCACAATAATACATTACAGTTGGATTAAAATTTTCAATGCAAAAATATTATAACAATGCTAAAAGGTGGCTGGGAGCGGTGTCTGATGCCTGTAATGTCAACACTTTAGGTGGTCGAGGCAGGCGGATCACCTGAGGTCAGGAGTTCAAGACCAGCCTGGCCAACGTGGAGAAACCCCGTCTCTACTAAAAATATAAAAATTAGCTGGGTGTGGTGGTGAGCATCTGTAATCCCAGCTACTCAGGAGGCTGAGGCAGGAGAATTGCTTGAACCCAGGAGGCAGAGGATGCAGTGGGCCGAGATGATGCCATTGCATTCCAGCCTGGGCAAAAGAGTGAGACTCCATCTCTTTATCTGTAAATAAATAAAATAATAATAGTAATGCTAAAAGGACAATATAGAAAGATATTCCTTTTCTTTTTTTTTTTTTTTGAGATGGAGTCTTGCTCTGTTGTCCAGGCCAGTGGAGTGCAGTGGTACAGTCTCAGCTCACTGCAACCTCCACCTCCCAGGTTCAAGTGATTCTCCTGCCTCAACCTCCTGAGTAGCTGGGATTACAGGCATGCACCGCCACCACACCCAGCTAATTTTGTATTTTTGGTAGAGACAGGGTTTCTCTATGTTGGTCAGGCTAGTCTTGAACTCCTGACCTCAGGTGATCCACCTGCCTCAGACTCCTAAAGTGCTGGGATTACAGGCATGAGCCACCATGCCTGACCCTAGAAAGATATTTTTATAGCTTGAGTATGGAAGGCCTATCTACATATACCATATACTCCAAAGTAAGAAAGAAAAGATGAACACAATTGATGAAATAAAAAAGTAAGATTTATGTGCAGGCAAAGAGATAAGGATCAAAATGAAGACACGTGACAAATCTTTATGATATATATAAAATTATTAATATTCAAGGCATAGAAATAATTCTTATCAATCAATAAAAAATAGTTTTTAAAATAAGAAAAGGATATAAATGATCAGCTTTCAGAAGAAATACCTCACAAGAAGAAATACCAAACCTATGAGAAGCATCTAATGTCACCAAAAACATATATATATCATAGCCATAAAACACCATTTTTCACCATCAGATTGGTAAAGTTAGAAAAGATGATAATTTACATTATTAACATGAATGTGTGGAGAAATGAACCTTCATACAACATCAGAGGGAATGTCAATCAATATCTTCTGAGGAAAGAAATTTATCATTTCCACCAAACTTTAAAATGTATGTCTTTTATTTAGGCCGGGCACAGTGACTCATGCCTGTAATCCCACCACTTTGGGAGGCCGAGGCGAGCAGATCATGAGGTCAGGAGTTCAAGACCAGCCTGGCCAAAATAGTGAAACCCTGTCTCTACTAAAAATACAAAAAATTAGCCAGGCGTGGTGGTGGGTTCCTGTAATCCCAGCTACTTGGGAGACTGAGGCAGGAGAATTGCTTGAACCAGGGAGGCAGAGGTTGCAGAGAGCAGAGATCACGGCATTGCACTCCAGCCCAGGCAACAGTGTAAGACACCATCTCAAAAACAACAACAACAACAACAACAAAGTATGTCTTCTTTCTAACCTAGTGATTTTAATTTAAGAAATCTATCCCATACAAATGATTGCACAGATGTTTTAAAACTCTATTCAAGGGCAGGCCATTGTGGCCTGTAATCCCAGCACTTTGAGAGGCCGAGGTGTGTGGATCACAAGGTCAGGCGTTCAAGACCAGCCTGGCCAACATGATGAAACCTCGTCTCTACTAAAATTACAACAAAAATTAACCAGGCGTGGTGGCAGGTGCCTGTAATCCCAGCTACTGGGGAGGCTGAGGCAGGAGAATCACTTGAACTTGGGAGGCAGAGTTGGCAGTGAGCTGAGATCGTGCCACTGCACTCCAGTCTGGGTGACAGAGTGAGACTCCATCTCAAAAAAAAAAAAAAAAAAAAAAAATGTGTTCAAGGACATTTGTTGTAGCATGTTTGTAATAAACAATTGCAAACAACTAAAGTTATGGTATATTTATGTTGTGAAATATTGTATAACTGTCAAAAAAAGTGAGACATGGAAAGATGCTTTTGGTAAATTACATGAAAAGAGCAAGTTGCAAAACAGTATCTATAGGATTAGCCCTTTTTATATGAGACTATGTTTATACCATGCTAGGGGTGTACCAGTAGACTGCACCGTGCTGTGTTGTTATTCATGTATGTGCGGGAAGAAAGGCTGAAGGGGCTGCGGCTGGACTTTTTTCCAGTGCCTGTCTTCCAGATCTTAGACTGTGAGAGAACTGAAAATGAAATTTTCACTTCGTACCTTTGTAAACCAAAAAGTATCTGAGACAGGTCTTAATCAATGTAGCAGTTGATGTTGTCAATGTCAAGGACAAAAAGAAAGACAGAACTACAAGAACAATCTGTGGTTTGTGCCTTTTTCTCAAGATGGTTTTTGAAGGCTTCAGTTTTTGAAGGGGAAAAGCGGGCTGGAGGGGCAAGAGGGGAGGTCGAGTCACATTACTGAATCCATATGTTGCAAGAGAAAAGAGGCAGGCAGCGGGATGGTCCGTTGTGTATTCTCTTCGTGCTCAGTAAATCGGCACTTTCATAAGATAAGGTGAACATAGGGTAACTACCCTTGGAGATGGCTGGCCTTTTATCTGTAGCTGTCTGCTTAGGAACTCAAGGAAAGTCAGTTTCTTGCGTGACTCAACTTTCAGCTTCATTTTTCCTTTTGGCATAGTGAATTGAGGTCCTGGGATTTTATTTTTGTTTCACATTGTATTAATCTCTGTGAAGTTTGAAATTTTGGAAATAAACACTTTTTTTTTTTTGTAATAAAAATGTTGTTTTTAAGACAGGATGCTTATGGCACACGTATTTTTTCAAAAGTATCTGCTGACCTAGAGGAGCAGCATGGAGCTTCCCTGCTTGTGAGTGGCTGACCCACCAGCCACCGTCCAATCCAGCCTGTCAAGGCCTGGTGGGGACAAGGTGGTGCTTGCCATCCTAGGACCCGTCTCAGCTTTGGAGGGCGCTTGCCCTCTCTTCCCCTCACTTTCCTCATGGAGCCTGTGAAGAGCAACTTTCCGTTCCTCTATTGGGAACATTAATTTTGCTCCTCCCAAACTAATTCAATACTGAGTGATGAGCATGGCTTTCAGGGCAGAAACCACGAAAAAGAAAGAGATGGATGGATCTGACTCTGTTAAATGTGGAAACTTTTTATGTAAAAAAAGAAATTTAAAAATTAAAGGAGCAAATTACTTGCAAGATACATGACAAAGACATAATTTTTATTTTTTTTATTTTTTTTATTTTAGAGACAGGGTCTTGCTGTGTTGCTCAGGATGGAGTGCAGTAGCATGAGCACAGCATACTGCAGCCTCGACCTCCTGAGCTCAAGTGATCCTCCTGCCTCAGCCTCCCAAGTAGCTGGGAATACAGACATGTGGCAACATGCCTGGCTAATTTTTTAATTTTTTGTGGATACGGAGTCTCACTATGTTGCCCAGGCTGATCTTGAATTCCTGGGCTCAAGTGATCCTCCCACCTTGGCCTCCCAAGTTTTGGGATGAGAGGTGTGGGCCACTGTGCCTGGCCAACATAAAATTTTTAATATTAAATTTTTCTTGTAAACATAGAAAGAAAGAGAGACACCTTAATATTAAAATGGGTCAAATTCATAAAAGGAGCAATCCACAAAAGAAGAATTTTATTTCTATTTATTAATAAAGAAATGTCAGTTTTAACATAGATGCATTTTTCATCTTCATTTCGAAAATGAAAACATAGCATTGATGGTGGTGAAAATGGGCATTCTTGTATATGGCCAGGAGAATTGCAAATAGATATAGTTTCTGGTGGGCAATTTGTCAGTGTGAATTAGAAGTATAAAAAATATGTGTATTTCTAACAAGTCCACAAGGATGATTTTATCACAAGGAAATAATGAAGGCTACGTACTAGACTTGGCTATAAATTTATACACTGCAGTATTTTAAAGTCAGGATTGGAAACAATTTAAATG